TGACTGGGGTGAGATGATATCTCATAGTTGTTTTAATTTGCATCTCTCTCACCAGTAAAATCTTGCTGGAGATTATTTTAAAATGACTGTAGCAGTGCATTGATAGAGAACTGACAGAAATTCAAGCTAGATTCAGAAGAGACCTGCAGAAATAGCATAACTGCTGGCAGATGAATCTTGGCTGAAAACGGAGAATACCAGAAAGATTAGTGTTTTATTCACTGTGTAAAGATGTTTGACTGTGTGGATCAAAAGAAATTATGGCTAACCTTGAGAAGAATGGGAATCTCCAACACTGGTATGTACTCACGCATACAAATACCCCAAGAAGCGGTTGTCCAAACAGAACAAGGGAATGCTGTATGGTTTAGCATCAGGAAGGGTGTGTGTCAGGGCTGTATCCTTTCTCCAAACCTGTCCGGTCTGTATGCTGAGGAAAGAATTTGAGAAACTGGACTGTATGACAAAGGATGTAGCACCACCAGGGTTGGAGGAGGACTCTTCAACAATCTGCATTAGGCAGATGACACAGTCTTGCTTGCAAAAGATGACGTAGACTTGAAGAACTTACTAGAAGAGGATATAGCCCTCAAAATGGATTGCATCTCATAACATCAAAATAAAATTCCTCACCACTGGGCTGACGGGCAACAAGATAATGATAAATGGAGAAAAGATAAAAGTTGTCAAGAATTTATTTTTTCTTAGACCTGCAGCCAGAATCCATGGAAGTAGCAATCAGGAAATAAAAAAGGTGGTGCGTTGGGGAAATCTGTAATTAACCTCTCCCGAGTACTAAGGAATAAGAAGGTCCATGTAAAGATCCAAGCCGTGAGGTTTTCAGTTGCTTCCTAGGCCCTTTATACATGAATTCAAGTGCTTCGTGGGCTAGCTGGTGAATGAAGAATTGATACCTTTGAATTGTGGTGCTGATGAAGAGTGCTCCCTATACTATGGACTGCCAGAGAATAAACAAATCTTGCTTGGATTACAACCAAAGTGCTCCTTAAGGCAAGACTGGTGAAAATTCATCTCATCACACATCCTGTGGGAGGAACGAGACCTGGGAAAAGACATCACACTAGGTTAGGCAGAGGAATGGAAAGCTGGACTCTAGGAAGAAGAATGTGGCATCGTGATTGGAGCAGTCTGCATTATGCAGAAAATACAACTTTGCTTGCTGAAAGTGAGGAGGATATGAATGCTGCAGAAGATGAAAGACCATAGCTGTCAGTATGGATTACATCTCCACATCAAGAAACCAAGAACTCCTCACCACAGGCCCAGCAGTCACTATTATGATAGAGGAGGAAGGATTGAAATGGTCTGTGATTTCATCTTCCTTGGATCAACAACCAATACTCTTGGAACCAGCAATCAGGAAATCCGGAGACATGTTACATTGGACAAGTCTGCCATCAGAGACCTCTCCAAATGATAAAAAACAATAAGATGTGCTTGATTCGTGCCATGGTCTTCTCCTTCACCTGGTAGGCATTAGAGAGCTGGCTAGTTAATAAAAACGACAGGAGAATTGATGCCTTTGAGTTGTGGTGTTGGAGAAGAGTACTGAATATCGCCTGGACTGCCTAAAGAATATGTCTTGGAAAAGGTGCAGTCTGAGTGCGCCTTGGAGACAAAGATGGTGAAGCTTCATCTTCCATACTTGGGCATGTTGCAAGGCAAAGCTATTCTTTAGAAAGGGATACCATGCTTGGAAAGATGGTCAGTGAAAGAAGGGGAGACCCCCAACGAGATGGATCGCCGTAGTGACTTCATCAGTGGGCTCTCGTGTGTCAGAGATGGTGAGGATGGCACGGGGTAGAGAAGGGTTCGGGTCAGGCGTTCACAGGGCCACTCAGAGTCGTGTTCAACTTGGCGGCACCTAACAACAGGCTCATGAACAGAGAAGAGATTCCAGAAACTCACGTCAGCTGCCGTTCAGTATTTTCAGCTAGCAGTCTTGTTACTGAAGGAGAGCAGTCTTCTATAGACAAGAACTTTAAGTTACAGGTATTTAAAAAATCAGCAAACCGTAATCCCAGAAGTATGTGATTCGAATCCACCAGATGCTCTGCTGGAGAAGGAGGGCCAATCTTTTCCTGTACCTCTCAGTTCCAGTTTGACAGTACACACAAAAAAGAATAAAATTTTAAAAAAACAGCAAACCGTAGCACCACTTTCCATGGTTTCCAGAGCTGTGGTCTTTACGGACGCACGCTGCCACTCTGTCTGCTGCAGAGCAGCCCGCCATGGTTTGCTGAGCAACCAGCTGCTTCCCCACTGCGCTACCAGGACTCCTCAGTTCCCTGGACCTGTCACTGGCGTCAGGCTGGAACTGTTGACCCTCCACAGGGTTTCTGGAGGCTGCTGTAAATCGCGTGAGCAAAGATTGCTCGCCTTTCTCCCACACTGGCTTATTACTGATCACCTCTGTTCCCTGGTCCTTGAGGAATGAGAACATAATAATGAGACACTTGTCTCTGCTGCTGTATGTAGTTTTAAATGCATTTGATCTTCATTTTATCTCAACACTTTTGTCGTTATTTACCGTCTAGTTGAAACTGACCCATAGCTGACCCTCCAGCGGGTTTTCAGATGCGATAAATTGCACAGGAGGAGATTGCCCATCTTCATCCTGCAGAGTCGCAAGTAGATTTGAACCACATGCCTCCTGGTTGGCAGTGCAGCTTCTTACCATGAGGCCACTAGAGCTCGCTAAGATAGAGACTAGAGGATCAAATCAGTTGAAGCTGTTACTTTTTTTTCTTTTATACTGGTTTATTTACAAAGTTCAGCTACATTGTTCTTCCACACTGGATCTTTCCCATTTCCTTCACCCCCATCCTCCCATCATGATTAACACCCTCCCCCCAACCCATCCTCACTCCTCTGTGAAGCTATGCTTTTTAGGGGCGGTTTTTTACGGTAATAATAAATCAAGTGACCTAGATGCCAAGTTTGTAACAACCATTGGCCTGTGGGCTCCCAGTCTTAACAAAATGTGGTTAGTTCTCCTCTCTGACCAGAGCCACTGTGTCCTCACAGCTTTGTGGTCCTGCATTGTGGGGAAGGAGGCCGCCGACAGTAAACAGAGAAGCCATTCCTCCAAGAGGGCCAGAGTGGACCAAGCCAGAGACATGACCAGCCCTCCTTTCCATTCCTGTCTTAGCAGAAGGTACGGTGATGCTAGCCTTTAAAAATCTCTACATTTTTCTTTTCCAAGAGTTGATTATTATTCTGTGGCTGATGTTTGTTTTCTAGAATGCATTTCATTTCCATGGCAGTGTTTAGCTTAACCTGTAGTGACTCATCATCTCTCATTGCGGTCACTGAGAACCAGCTTGTAACTGAGCCTTCTGTGGTCCTCAGGCCACTGTGATGCATGGGAGAGATCGTCCACTTTCTCTGTGGAGCTGCTAGTGGCTTTGAACTGGTGGAGGGGCCCTGCCTTTGATCAGCAGTGGGACTTGCTCTGGTCTCCGGGACCAGGCCTCACTGTAAAGCTGACAGAGGATCTTCGATTTTTAAAGACTTGTCTTTGATGTTGAAAGCTTTACCAGAATAATTTTACAGCACACTTACTCAGTTTTTCTTGTAATGTTGAATTGGCTGATTTTCTGTGACTTTTTTTTAAGTGGAGGAAATCAAGAAAGAGAGACCCCTTTCCTTTTTTTATTTTTTTTGGTACCTTACTGTGTTTTGTATTAGAATATTTCATCATCTTCACAGGTTTTCATAACCAGCTTTTTGTTATCCAGAGTGCTCTCCTGGAGTCTCTACCCCACCTCTATATAATCAAAAAAATAAACTATACCAAAAAATGTCAGGGAAATGAATTCAATAACTCTCAAAACATAGGCTGAATTTTCAAGAACAATAAAAATACATGAAGCATAAATTAATCTGACAATTCAGATGACATGTCAAGATTCACATGCCCTTTTTTGTTACTGTTCTTTTGAGTGTCTGTAAAAGAATTCTGGTTAACACAGTTTTCAGATAAGTGTTTCTGTGTTGTGTACATAGGACCAAGTGATTATAGAAACAATATGAGAATTTTGATGGGTATACATGTATTCTTAAGTGGAACACAATTTATAAAAAGCTAAGAAAAATTTTAAAACCAAAGCTACAAAATAGAAATAATAGTAACTAATTTACAGAGTTGTTGGGAAAAATAAATTATTTACAATTTAAAAATCCCACAAAGCTACAAAATGAGTGATTTTTTTTCTATACTGCTTTTAGCAACAACTTCTTGTTGTTGTTGTTGTTGTTGTTGTTAGGTGCCATTGAGTCGAGTACAACTCATAGCAACCTCATGAACAAAAGATCTGACCCCTGTTCTATCCTGTGTTATCCTCACACTTCCTGACACAAAACAGCCGGTTGGCAGCAGTCATCATGTCAGTCCACCTGGTCGAGGGTCTTCTCTTTTGCTCACCCTCCACCCTTCCACATGTCATGTCGCTCTCTAAGGAGGAACTCCTCCTTGCAACATGCCCCCAGTATATGAAATGAAGCCTCATCACTCCGGCTGCACTGTCTCTAGGACATGTCTGTTTGCTTTCCTGGTTGTCTAGGGCTGCTCAGTGCTCAACTACTTGTCTTAGGCTATCATTTCATTGTGGATCAAACTTTTTTTTTTCACAAAAAAGAAAGAAAAAGCAACTTTAAAATAATGTTTTAAAAAATCTATCATTACAGAGTAAATGAAGAGGCAGAATGTCACATCCATGTTGAAAGACACAGATTTTCAAAACCTGTACTTTTAAAAAGATCCACCTTAAGTTATGTGAATTTAAATGTTGTTAATGTCTTTACTTGAAGTGCTTGGAGAAAAATATGAACGCAGCGTTTTATCACAGGACTGTATGATAACGATCCAGTGTTGATAATTTAACAAGTGTTTTTACTTATTCTGACAACCATAAAAATTGAGTCAGATACAAATGTTTTATGGCTAACTTCAATTAATCAAGCACAGGTAGAGAAGTCCTCAACCAAAAAAAAAAAAAAAAGACTGACACTAACAGTAACTGGAAGACGACTCAGTCACCGTGCCTTTGAGACATACCTTTAAATCTTTATTGGGTTTGTACTGTTTGGTACTTTTGATTCCATTGTTGGACTAAGAAAGAGTTTCTGTATTCAGACATATCTACAGAATGTCAATAGAAAACATGTGCATCTATACACTTAATACACATACTCATCTGTCTCTGAACAGCACTTCACTGCATCCCTGTTTCTCACTGGTGACTTGTTACCCGTCATTACTTTAAGTCCAGCTTGGATTCTGCAAGGCTGCAATAACGTGGCTAAAGAGATCGACACAAGCCCACATTCTCCCGCTGAATACCTGGCTCCACCTCATGATTTCTGAAAAACAGCAATACCGTTTATGTAATCCCAATAATTTAGAATTCATCAGTATAAAACCAGCATTGTAAGCCTTTAACTCCTCTGCTACTTAAAGGCATTTGACTGTGTGGATTACAACACATTGTTGCTAACCTTGAAAAGAATGGGAATCCCAGAACACTTGATTGTGCTCATGTGAAACCTACACTGGGCTAGGGAGCAGTCCCCAGAACAGAGCAAGGAAAAACTACTTGGTTAAAAATCAGGAAAGGAGTGTGTCAGGAATGTGTCTGTCCCCATACCTTTTCAATCTGTTTGCTGAATAGATCATATGGGAGGCTGGACTTTATGAGGAGGAATGTGGCATCAGAATTGGAGGAAGGTTCATCAACAGCTTGCATTATGCAGATGACACGTTTGCTTGTTGAACCTGAGAAGGACCTGAAGCGTTTGCTGAAAAGGTCAAGGACTGTAGTCTTCAATATGAATTGAAGCTCAACACCAAGAAAACAAAGGTTCTCACCACTGGGACAATTGGCACCCTCATGATAGATGGAGAAGGAATTGAGGTTGTTAACAGTTTCGGCTTGTTTAGTTCCTGCTCTTGGCACCAGCGGTCAGGAAAGCAAAAGATGAATTGCACTGGGGAAGTCTGCTGTCAGGGACCTCTCCAGAGTACCAAACATCAACAGTGTCAGTCTAGAAACTAAGGTGCTGCACCTGATCCAGGCCATGGTCTTCGCAATTACTTGTTATGCATCAGAGAGCTGGACTCTGGTGACTAAGGATAGCAGAAGAAGAATTGATGCTTTTGAGTGGTGTTGTGGGAGAAGAGTGTGGAACATACATAGATGGCCAAGAGAACAAACAGGTCTGTCTTGCAGAGGATGAAATCGGGTTTCTCGTTGGAGGCAAAGATTTTGAAGCACTGGCTCACATGCTTTGGCACGTGGCCGGGAGGAACCATTCCTCAAGAGAAGGACATCATGCTTGGAAAGGTAGAGGGACAGTGCAGGAGAGGAAGACCCCAGATGAGATGGTGAAAGACCCCCGAACCGGTGGTCCTGTCCCGAGCGGACGGCGAAGACCCAAGACTCCAAGACACCGGCTTGATGCAACAGCAAGAGGAGAGGTTTATTGCGGAGCTCCGGGCCGACAC